TGCTCTGCGACTGGGATTTCAGATTTTGTGACTCCAGGGCAGCCAGATCCAATATATGGGAGCAAAGCACCTGAGTTTCCCCACTCCAGCCGAAGCCGCAGGCTTGGGACCTGGGGCAGCGAAACTATGATAACTGATATTCATGTGGGAAGTTTTTGAATTACATTCTCAGAGATTCAGTTCACTGCAAATTTCAAAATGTTTGGGGGTTTTTTTGGTCCAAATCAAAACAAAGCAAACAAAAAGCAGCAAAAAATAAAAGTATTTCCATCAAACTGGAAATTCTCCTTTTTGATCAGCTCAGCAGCAGGATTATTAGAAAAATGAAGTAAAAAGCACAATCAGGGGAATCTCCATTCTTACTAGAATCAACCATTGTGGCAGCCTCCTCCCTGAGAATGGACTAAAGCAGCTTGATAAAAGCAAACTGAAAGCTGAGAGGCAATAAAGTAACTATCAATATACCTAGGGAAAGCACTGGGGAGGATGTCAGTAATTTCAGGTAAAGGACAATTTTGACACACAAAGAAAAGGGGTTTTGCAATCCATGAATATATTTTAAGCTGAAATGAGACAAATACTCATAACCATTAGAGACGCTGAGTTCTGATGCCCCAAACTCAACCCTGGAGTCTGAAAGAGTTCAAGATGTTTATATGACACAATAGCTGGAAATAGTGGACTAGACCCCTGCATCTAAAGTAAACGAGGTGTTGAAGAACATCATCCTCCACGCTCTGCCCATGTAAGCAAGCAGTTGGGAGTCAGTGGTGTCTACCTGTATTTAATGTCACCCAGCAGTCAGGATGTATGTAGGCTATATACCTGATCCTATAGGTTGGGGATGTCTGTGTTTCACTTTTCAGCACTTACTCAAAACTTTCCTTCCATTTCTGGTTTTGCTGCCTCTGTAAACTTCATTAAACTTGGCAGATCTGAGGTAAAAAATAAATAAGGGTCAGTCCCAACATGTGAGTAGATTTACAGCCACGACAATATTTTGTTGGAACCACGGAAATATGTACATACCAAAAGATAGTAATCTTACTGTTGTAATCCTTGTTCTGCCTGCCCCAGCCCATCCTACCCAGCTGTACGTTACTCTGAAATTCTCCACTGCAGATAAATGGATGGGGCTTGGAGGTTGCAGTCCTTTAGGCAGCTATGAAATCTCAGCATTGAGGTTCCACTTCTGTAGGGTGTCAGAAACAGCGTCTGTGTTCCACAAATAACAGAAGCTATACTTTCTCACGTGATATCTTTCCAGAATTACAAACTTCCCATACATTTCCCTGCCCTCAGGAAAGTTAATGCCTTGTTTCATATTTTAAATTAAGCTTCAAGTACTCCAGTGGCTCTCCTGTGCAGAGGCTTTGGCCAGGCATGGATTGATCTGGGAGTGAAGGCAGAGGCAAACAGACCTTTAACTCTCGGTGTGCAACAGAGACTCGGCCGTGGCTGCTGGCCTCCTTGTCATGTCAGGGCTACATCTGCCCCAGGGGTAATAGCTGAAAACTACTTCAAAGTTATAAAAGTAAAAGGCTGAATTTACAAAAATGGGAAACAGCAGTTTTGTGACAGTTTCTTACTAGAGGAAGTACATGTAAACATGTTGTGTAGTGAGTGTATAATATAGCACACGTGAAGTCATGAGCATGATCACTGGCGTGAAGGTCGGTGGTGTTCTTGCTAAACAGCATGCATGCAAATAGCACAAGTCTCTTAACATTACAGGGCCCTCTTGGCTGTGTCAAATATTTTATGGGATTATTTCTGTACAAGCTATTTCTAGATGTGGCCTGTGTCAGAGGTTTTGGCTGGCTGGATATCTAAGCATCTGTTTACAAGTGTCAGGATGGATGGAATGTTATCAAGCACAGCCAGAGGGAACTGGAAAGGACACATCGGCTGGTGCTCCACTTCAGGGCTACAATTGTTCCAATTAAAAATAAAATAAAATAAAAAAACACACTAGGTAAATGTCACTGCCATTGTGTGAAGCCATTTAAACATTGCATTTGCGAATTACTTCGGGGCTGATATCTAAAGTGCACTGGGCTCAAGTCAACAATGACAAATAAAAGCACAATTCAACTCCACCACCACAGAGAAGAGAAACACGGGACTGGCATAGAAGTTTGATAAAAGACCTCTTTTCCCTGTTTGGCTGTTTGCTCTTTCTGCTCACTTGGTCAACATTATAAAAATCCTTTAAAAAAAAAATCTTCAAAGAGAAAGAACAGGAAAAAACTGACATGCTTAGATTTAATTTTATATACAATGTGTCACTCTGTATGTATGTGGTCATTTCAAATGCATAAAGCATATCTGAACAAATTTCATTTAAAAAAGACAAATGTGCAGATTGGAGAGGATTACGACAAGCCAAGTTAAAAGCATGAGGGAATGCAAGAAATCTACAAGAGGAGTAAGGAAACCTATACCATGACCAGAAAAATGACCTTGTTGGCAAAACATAGATTTATGAGTATGATAACTCACATAATAGGACTTTCTAATAGTAAAGGATATAGCTCTGCACTGATCCTGAACTCCAGACAGGGGAGGAGGTTGGACTCATTAAAAGCCTCTGGGTGACAGTGAAAGAAGAGGAGGACACAACTGCTACTGTTGTTAGACCAAGCCATCTGAACAGAGAATATCTGGCGTGAAAGCCTTTTTTATGAGTAACATGACAAATCATTCAAAGCGTAGGACCAGAGAGTCACGGGAGAGTTTAACTGTCCAAAGAACGGTCAGGAAAGCAAAACATCAGGACAGAGATCAATTAGCAACCTCTAAATTTAAAAGAATCGGTCACCATTTCTGGTGCAGTAGAAAAAACAGACAGAGGAGGGGCTCTTTGGATGTGGTTCTAACCAGTGAAGTGTAGTTGTTTGAGAACAGGACAATGAAAGGCAACTTGCAGGCAGTGAATATGAAATTATACAGTTCGCAATCCTAAGGAAGAAAATAGGGGAAAGGAGAAAATCATGGACTTCAAGCAGGCAAACTCCCACCAACTTAAGTCAACAACAAAGTCAAAGGAAAATGTAATTAAGTTGTTGTGGCAGAGAACATAAGCTACCCCTATCAGAAGGGAAAAGTACTGAGAGATGAGTTTAGGTAAGCCAGAAGCTTTTAATTGATCTCAAGATCACAAAGTTCCACCTGTAAAGTGGAAATCAGATCAAATTCTAAAACATATAAAATAACAGCATATATGTATAAAACCAATCAGAAAACTAGGGCACAAAATCAACATACAGCTAGAAAACACTTCAAAAGGTAATGTGCATTAATAATAAGGAAGAGCAAGGAAAATGTTGATTGTTTTTCCTGTCTATTTGCGGAGTGTGGGGGGGGGGAGGCAATGACATAACTGACGATCCCAAGAAAGTCAGAGTATTTAAAACCTTTTTTGCATGCCAGCTGCAGGCACACAACTAGCATAATTAACATTCATGACAAAGGGCTAAGAACTCAATCTAAAACAGGGAAGAAATAGGACAGGAGAGCATTACGAAATGTTCTCAAGTCAGCCAGACCAAATAGACGATGGCCTGGGATATTTTAAGAATGAGGTGAATTAGTCAGATTAGCTATTACTTGACAATTCATGCAAGATGGCTAAGAGATATGACTGGGAAAGGACAAAAATAACAGCTGCCTTTTAAAAGAAGAGGGGAGAGAGGAGAGGAAGAAGAGCCTAGAAATAATAAACTAATCAATTTAATTTCAACTCTCAGAAAAAAATGTCTAGAATCAATCAAACTATTTGCAAACACTTGAAAGATAGCAGAAAAAGTAATAGCATAAAAAGTAATTTATTAATGCATATCTTTTTAAACTCATTTACTTTACTTTGATACTGTCATACCCCAAAATTAGGGTTTTACGGGGAACTTTATTCAACATTTTTATTAACAATCTGGATAACAGTCTTATTAAACTTGCAGATGAGACAAAGTTGGAAAGAAGTGCAAACATAAGTGTGTTGGAAGACATAATTCAAATTCAGAATTATCCTGAGGAATTGCAGTAGTGGAATGAAAAATGGATGAAATGCAACAGGGATGATATACTGCATTTAGGTGGGAATAATCAAATAAAATAAAAAAAAGACAGGCCAGGGAATTACTTTTTAAGAATTAATTTTTCAGAGGACTACCTGGAGGTAATAGGTCACAAACTGAAGATGTATCAAAAGTAACAATCTATTGCAAGACATAAGGAATAAGCTGTGATCTATAAACAGCAGTATAGCCCTCAAGCATTCCTTTTCTTGGTACTACTAGAACCGTTGGGTAGAGGACTTGGTCCCTTTGGGGCACTACACTTCAGAAAAGACATGGGCCAACTGGAGAAAGCCGAAAACAGTGCAAGTGATTAGAGGCAAAGAGAATGTGATCTACAATGAAAGATTTTAAAAATAGAGATTATTTGGCCTAAGAAAGAGAAAAAAGTGAAGCGTAGATGGCGATTATTTTCCAATACAGAAGAGAATTTTATTTCTATCTACCATGGATAGAAGAATTCAGAAATTTAAATTGTAGCAAGAATAAGGATTAGGCATTAAGAAAAACATTCTAATAATAAACTTGTGAATTTCTGATACAGATGGCTTTGGTAGGTAGAGGGGTGTTCACCACTGAGACTTGTTAGAAAAGTTAGTCAAGAAAATACCAAGAATTATGTAGGAACAGTTAATCCTTCTCTGGGACACACGAATGAACTACATCAGGAGTAGGTAACCTGTAGGTTTCAGCTGCATTTGGCTCCTCAGTAATTCAAATGTGGTTACCATGTCAAAATGATGATACGTCAAGAATGTCAAGTACATGATGAGCAGGTGGTCTGTTCTGGTATGGGAGCTACTGCTCAGTGTGAGTCTCCACCTATGAAAAGAAGGAGTCATCAGGTCCTGTTTAGAGCTAAGTCACCTATTTTCCTGGAACCCAGCTTTGTATTCAGCTTGCCTCTCATTCCATGATGGAGCTCTGGAGTCCTGTAAGAACATTGTTGTTCATAGGACTCCTGCTTCTTGGCCTCTCCAAGGCATATAGAATCATAGAATCATAGAATAGTTTGGGTTGGAAGGGACCTCTAAAGGTCATCTAGTCCAAGCCCCCTGCCGTGGGCAGGGACATCTTCAACCCACAGACTAGTGGGTCTGATTTTTACACCGGATTAGATGAATGATACAGAATAGGGTTGGGAAGCACATGAATGAACATGATCCTTTGGGAGAGTCAAAGTGCTCTCTCACATCATCTTATGAACTTCCATGTATATAACAATATCCTGCTTTGAAAGACACTCCTCTGTAGAGCATTTGAATGATATGCTAACAAAATAATATTAAGACAAGATTTTCCTCTACCGATGTTGTGTTTTTCTCAAAATGGTGAGTTGATGTAAAAAACCCAAGCTCTTCAGAAAAAGGTTAATGTCATCCTCAATAGAAAGAGTATCAGTTATGTACAGAACAATATGCATTCTATCAGCCTGTCTGTCTTGAATCCCTTGCTGTCACACACACTTAAGACCTGTCAATTACAGACTTGAAGCTGAATCGTAAATTAAAGAATGCTACTGTTCCTCAAACTAGCAGACTTATAAAAACAACAAAGTTACTCTGTGGTTTTGTTTTCATTCTTCAACTAGCCCAAGAAATTTAAATCTCCTGCTTCATACACTGTGACCTTGGTCAAATTGTTGTCTTTTGCATGGTAACACTAGTGTGTTAGCTTAAAGTGAATTTGCGTACCCAAATAATCAAACACAGTCTCTGCTCTAGCTTCTGTGATCTCCTTTCCACCTAAATCTGACAGACAAGAGAACTTGGGGTGGAAAGGGGAAACATGAACATGCAGCAAAAGTTGCAGAAAAATGCTCATAAAATGTGGGTAGACAACGAGTGCATGCTCTGAGCAATAAAATGTAAAACACTTTGAAAAGTGAACCAGTTAGGCGTCTAACATATTGGAATTTAGGAATCTACATGCAGGAAAGCTATCCGAGAAAGCCTTGTTTAATGTTCTTAAGCCTTTGAGACACTTTAGACACTAGCATTTTAGGCAGAAGCTTCAGTGGACAGATAAACTTGTGCTATTGGCAGAAGGAAATGGAGGACAATGTGGACACACAGGTGTAGGAAGTGGTCTCAGGCTCTGGATTTCAGTTTTGCAGTATGTGCCTGGTCACAATCTTCAATAAGCACTGAAAAGACTAAGGATGGGGTTCACTTAAGATCCACAGGGCAACACTTGCACATTATTTATCTTTAAACTGATTTGTTTTTCATTGTTCATTTGCAGTAGTTCTTCTGGCTAATGTACCTGTAGGATGCAGGACAGCCTGTGTAGTGCTGGAAGCAGGCCAGCACACTAGGTTTGAAATTCCTTGCCTTAAAAAAAGGGGCACTGAATATACTAGCTGAATCAAAACCTTCACTTCTACTATCCTCCATCTCCCTTCTTCAGAAACAAAGCAAGCAAAATACCTCCATTGTCACTTTTCTTTTCCCAGAGAACCAGAAATTCAATTTATTAATTACACAGTCTGATAGGTTTTCATTTTATATTAGCTGTAGATAAAGACATGATGGATGCCTTAGAAACAACGGAGAGCAAGTGACTGCAGGCTGTGGCAGGGTGTTCCTTCATTTTCCTTTCTCACTTTGCCTGTGCCTTCCTCTCCTGCATGCATGTTCATATTGATTCCTTGGAGATTAGTTCATTAAAGAAAATTCTCTGTTTCCACAGATATGTGTTGGTTAGGTAATTATTCTGCTTTCATGTAAAGTATTCAGGGGAGTTTTGCTCTGTAGCTTTAAAGGAAGTAACCCAGACAACCCACAACCTAAAATTTTCCACATATTCAGAGGCTGAGAGCAGAGCTGCTATTAAATATTGTTTTTATTTTTGCATACAGCAAGCACTGTGCATTCCCAGCTCTTGGTACAACTCTGATCATGGTTAGAATATGCATTTTATTAGTGTGGTTTCTTTCCATGGCAAGCAATGATGTGCCATAACAAAATAACCTAAATGGTACTTTTTTCTGCAATTCAATTTATGATGGAAATTTAGATTAAAAGAGTGCTTCTCTTCTTTCAGCTATTCTTATATCTTAGATGAATAGAGAACATTAAGAAGGTAAAGTGAGGAAAGAGGAGGCATTAACCTACACACTGCACAGAATTTTGAATTGCTCCTATCCTACGAACAGAAGTTTTAATGGAACACACAATATGTGCTTAAAAGATTGATTTACTCCCTATAAAGGTTATCACTTAAGTTTCACACAGCACCAGTGGACTTTTTTTTATTTTCTTAAGTTTTCTAAAGTCATGACATAAAGGGGGAAACCCACATTTATCTGAACAATTCTCTATCGTATTTCTAAATGACTAACGTGTTCCTTTCACATCCTCCATTTTTTCGTTACCATCTAAGTATGATCAGTAGAGATTAATTGGAGAAAGATGTTATATTACTGAAAAAATATGGATTCGTAATCCCTGTGCCTGGAGGCCAGTAACAAGTGGAGTACCACAGGATCGATGCTTGTACCTGTCCTGTTTAACATCTGTATCAATGACCTGGAGGAGGTAATGTGCACTCTCATCAAGTTTGCAGGTAACACCAAACTGGAGGGACCAGTCAATACGCTCAAGGACAGGGCTGTCTTTCAGTGGGACCTAGACAGGCTGGAGGAATGGGCTGATGGGAACCATGTGAAATTCTGCCAGGACAAATGCAAAATCCTGCCCTGTGAAGAAAGAAGCCTGTGCAGTGATACAAGCTGAGGACTGACTGCGTGGGGAGCAGTCCTGCTGAGAAGGACTTCATGAACTTGGTAGACAGCAAGCTGACGTGTGCCCCAGCAGCAGTGAAGGCCAACAGCATCATGGGCTGTGTGAACAGGAGCACAGCCAGGAGATCAAGAGAAGTGATTATCCCCCTTCACTTGGCAGTCACGAGATGACATCTTGCATACTGCATCCAGTTTTTCACCCCTCCCTACAAGAGACACATCGCCAAACTGGAGTGAACCTAGTGGAGGGCTGCCAGGATGCTCAGGAGCTGGAGCATCAGCCCTACGAGGGGAGCCTGAGGGATGGGGCTGCTTCAGCCTGGAGAGGGGAAGGCTTTGGGGGCACCTCAGAGTAGCCTTCCCCTTGCTACAAGCAGGTCACTGAGAAGACAGAGCGAGGCTCTCCACAGCAATGCATGGTGGCAGGAGAGACAATAAGCATAAAAGTTGAAATGAGAAGTTCAGACTGGAGAAGAAGGGAAACCTTTTTCCCCATGAGGACAGTGCAGCAGCGGAACAGGTTGCTCCAAGATGCTGTGCAGTCTCCATCCCTGGAAGTTTTTGAAACCTGAGTAAAGCCCTGAGCAACAAGGTTTGATCCTGCATTGAGCAGGAGGTTGGACTAGGGAGCTCCTGAAGTCCCTTCCAAGCTGAATTTTCCTGTGATTCTACACTTGTAGACAAACAAGTGAAGAACAAAACACAAAGTAAACACAAAGTAAACACAAAGCAAAGAAAATAAGATAAAAACATAGATTTAAGCTGCAGGTGAGAATACAGAATATGAACAATGTTGTGATTTAATTTCAGTCTCCTGCAGTTTTTCATGAGGTTTTGAAAAATAAAAACTGTTTTTTGTAATTTAATATAAGTAGTTCCTCACTCAAGAGAAACACATTCATACCCACTTAAACTGGAATTTCAAAATACTCAGACTAGACCTCAGAGTCTCAGGCCTCGTCTAAAAGCTCAGCAGGTAGAGCAATATCAATTAAGAGTGCATTTTGCAATATTGTATTGGCAAAATGCCCAGCAACAAAAAAGTCACTTTATTTCCTTCCAGTATAAACTCTACCAGCCAAAGAAACCCCTTTTTTCAAGCATGGAGCCTGCATGTGGACCCCGTTATATTGATCTAGAAATTTATATATTAAAATAACTTTTGCTGACTATAGAAAGCTATTGCCTGCTAAACCAAGCAAACAGAGTTTGACTGGTGTAACTCCACCTATGGCAGATTTTACCAATATAACTACCTTTATGCTGTACAAGCACAGACATAAGCCAGCGCTTACAATAGGCATTTACAGCTAGTTTTGCAGAAATTACTGCCACTCATAATATAATGTGCACTAGCTGTAGCCACTTTAAAGGGAAGGAACCTCCTCCAGATGAAGAACTATTATGAACTGAGCAGCTGGAATCCTATTTGACATCTTGTTGATAAACATTGCTTTATACACTAACATAAACAGAGAGCAAAACCAGATTCAGCCATCATTTCACCATCTGCGCCTGGTTCCAGAGCATCATGCTCAGAAAGGAGAGGACTTTGAATATGCTGTTTGGAATGGACTGAAGTGGGAACATGTACAGAGAAAAGAGTACTTACATTAGCTGGTGTTGGTAATATTGGATATTATGTCAGAACAAATGGTCAGAATTCAGGTATCCTTACTGAGTGTATTCAAGCCAGACTTGCTTTTCCAGGCTTTTTAAAGGGATTGGAAAGAATCTGGAAGAGTGATAATACAGTGTAAACGAAAAAGAAAAAGGGAAGTATATAAGCATGCATGAAATTATACATAGTTTGAAAGGTAGATGTTTCCTAACAGATGTATAAAGACTATAATCAATTCCTGTATTGTTGCTGAGCTAAATGTAAGATTCATGCTTCATAAGATATCAAACTCATATTCTGAAGCTAATTTGTCTTGGTGATTAAAATACTACCACAGACTAAATGTATTGTAATATCCCCTGCAAATACTCCAATGAAACCGAGTATACTAGTTATTAAAAAAAAGACAGACTTTCTTCTTTTTTCTTTTTTCTTTTTTTTTTTAATAAGAGAGAAGCCAAGAGATCACTGACCATTTATTATGCTATTTACTTGTATTGGAGCAATGAAGAAAATTCAAAATATTTATCCTACAGACACATAACACACACCCTAGCACTTTTGCAGTTCCAGCACTAGCTGTAGACAGTGTGGAGACTTGAAACATAATTTAGGGGAGAAGTCCTAATTATTAAAAACCCTAAAAATACAATTCTTTTGTTTTCCAATTTCAGAAAATCTATTTCACAAATTTTCAACCCCCTCCTACCTGTGTACTGATGACCTTCACCACTCCAAAGCCCCCCTGCTATCCCAAGCCAGGACCCCAAAACAGCACCTACCTACACTCTTACTAGTCTCCTGTCTTCCCAGCCCCATCCACGCCCCCACAAGCTTTCTGACTGAAAACTACTTCAGCTGCTTTTGCCTAAATCGGGTCTTGTTGTCAGTGAACTGTGTTTGACATTAATCCCCATGAAACTAAACCACCTGCCATGTGAAGAAGTAAAAAACACTTTCTAGTATACAGAAAGTGCAGGGAGGTATAAATCCAGAATATGTAATAAATGTACTGATTTATTATTATCAATGCTTATTTCTACATATAATGAGGGAGCAGTAAAGTATTTTCCCTGGTTTATCTATGTGGTATTTAAATGTTCAACTCTCACTGCTACGTGGCCAATACAAATAGTTTGTAATAATCTCAGATCTTACTATGTTACAGGAATGTTGTATTAAACAAACACCATAAACATCTCTGGAGCTGGAATACAAGTCTTCCTCTCCTAACACAGTGCTCCAACCACAAAACTACAGAGTCAGGATCAGGTCTGTGGTTTCAATGTCTAACCCAAGGAGTTACTAATCATGCTTTGCCATAGCTTCAGTAGCAGCAGCTAAGAATGAAAGGCCTGAGGAACAACCGCTGGTTTGGCAGCAGACGCATCTCCCAGGAGATGTGGATATGAATCCCCTAACCAGTGGCAAGAACTGAAACTTAAATGTCCTTTGCACCTATATTAATGGAAGGGCTATGGTATTGCTTGACAATGTTGAAAGAATATAGAGTTCTCTTTCTGTGATTTTTCAAATGAGGAAAAGGCAAGACATGGTTCTGGTGTATGAATAAGAAAGATGTATCTGTGTGCCCTTAGTTTAAAACCTCAGTGACACTTCTGGCAGATAGTTATCAACATGTCAGATTTCAATTCCCTTAAGCCAATCGAAAATTGATGAGGTCAAATCTCATGGTCCATCTTGCCCCAGCTACGTGTTTTTACCCCCCGCCATTTGGTCTGGCACTCATGGGAGCGGGCAGAGAGCCAGCCTGGAGTGACAGCCTGGCTGAGGACTGATCACTTGCTCCTTGCAGGTCAGTCTCTGAGGCACATGAGCTCCCTGAAGCCAAGCAGCACCCAGTCGCACAGCTCATGGTGCAAGAACAAGGGAAGGGCAGCGAAAGGTGCCAGGAACTGCACTGTCCCCGGCCACTGTAACCCAACAACTTCCATGTGGTGGCACCAGCATTGGTGTTCATCGAACCACAGCAGGGAACTCGGGTGAGCTACAATTCTCTTCTATTCTGGGTTAATTTCAGAGGGGGCTCTGCATCATGGCTTAACAAATGATTGTGAAACTCTTGCAATATCGGCTTGTGTGGCTCTTGTCCCACCTCCGTTGTACGAGGAAGCCAGATGCTGAGCCAGCACGGGGCACGGGGGGGCTGCTGCAAGGGCCTTAAAGATCAGTATGTCACTGCTTAAGTCACCTTTGCGCATGTGGGTCTATCTCTGGTACTTTGTCAACGTAAATGATGCCTAAATAAAATAAACTGATTGCACTATGCTCATTTTGACTGTTTTCTTTCCTAAGGTGTTTCTCAAAAGAGAAATCTATATTACTGCAAGAAAAGTCCAAGCAGGCGTTCTCCCTTTTCCTGTAGCTCATGTCGACACTCGCGTTACTTAGCCCTGCGTGTGCTCTGCCGGACACCCGGCCGAGGAAGGTGCCCGTCATTGCACTTCAGCCGTTCAGACCCACTTCATTTCTACCTGGCAGCCGCACGCACGGCACGCTGACGCCCCCTTCTCACTAACACCGGATTCACCGCCTTCCTGAAAACAAACCCAGGCGTCCGCCCTGC